CGTAGACGTAATTGTAGTAGCAGTAGAAGCTGCAGTAGAAAGTCTGTAGTTGGGCTAAAATCTATTAAGCTTTATGGTTCAGTTAATTGCTGGCCATTCGAAGTTGAGATGGCACTGTAATGGGACTATTTTCCCGTGTTAAAAGAATGAATGGGCAAGTGGAAAGCGCTCACGGGCAGTCGGGGTCGACCATGACAGCAGCATTTGCTCCGACGCCGCTGGGGCCGTACTCCATCAGCAAGTGCTCGAATCCTTGCGAGAGCATTGTGCGGAGGACCTCCTTCTGGAGGGCGCTTCCGCGGCGCAGCCCGTTTGAGATGTACTGCAACAGCGCATCGTCGGTCTTGAACGGCAGGTGCGCCACCTCCGACAGCGACTTCACCTTGCGCATTTCGAAGCTCTTCTGATAGGCGCACCACCCGCCCCACTGCCCGCGCTCTCCCTCCGTCGCAGTCACCTGGAACACAGCCCTGGAGGTCCGTCAACTACAATCCCGTGCCGGGATCTGCGGTCGTGTTTCATTAGACGTTGCATACCATCAACTGAAAAACGAAATGCTCTGTCCTGAAACAGCGTCAATACCACTCTATCTATCAGCGACAGTATCAACTACAATCTAGTGCATTGATCTGGCGCCCCGGCCGGGAGACGCCATGCCTCAGGCCCTGTTTTCAACGTTTCGTCCATTGTACCTCTTCCTTCTTTACGGTAAAACATACTCCCACTTCTCCTCCTCCTACTCCCACTCCTCCTCCTCCTCCTCCTCCTCCTCCTACTACTACTACTACTACTCCTACTACTCCTCCTACTCCTCCTCCTCCTCCTACTCCTCCTACTCCTCCTCCTCCTACTACTACTCCTACTCCTCCTCCTACTACTACTCCTACTCCTCCTCCTACTCCTCCTCCTACTCCTCCTCCTACTACTCCTCCTACTACTCCTCCTACTACTTCCTCTACTACTCCTACTACTCTCCTCCTACTCTCCTCCTATCCTACTAATCTCCTACTCTTACTCTACTCCTTCCTATCCTCCTACTTCCTACTCCTCTATATTAATCCTGCCTACTCTACTACTCCTCACTGCCTACTACATCCTCCCTAACTCCTCCTCCCTCCTACTCTCCTCCTGCTCCTCCTCTTCCTCCTCCTCTCACTCTCCTCCTAACTAACTACTACTATACTACTCTATACTCACTATACTACTTACTACTACTATACTACTACTACTACTACTATAATATATAATAATAATAATAATAATAATAATGTGTATATTATGTTCGGACTATTTCATCCATCCAGGGCTTTACAACCTTAGGGTGAAAAATTAAATATGAATCGCCCAATAAGAAACGCTAATGTTCACCCTATCTAATAATAATAACTATTAATAAAAATATTTCAGACATAGAAAATTGGACTTAGATTGTAGGAAAGAACTGGGAGCAATGGGAGAATAATTTGTTACTAGCAACGTTTATGAGAGAGAGAAAGAGAAAGAGAGAGAGAAGAGTGAGAAAGAGAGAAGAAAATAGAAAAAAAAAAAAAAAAAAAAAAAAAAAAAGAAAGGGGAAAAAATTAAAGAGAAAGGAAAGGGGGGAAAAGAGGAGAGAGAAAGAAGAGAGAAGAGAAAGAGAGAGAGAGAAAGAGAGGAAGAGAAAGAGAGAGAGAACGAGAGAGATAAAGAGAGCGGAGAACAGAGGGCGGAGAAGGAGGCGGGAGAGAGGGGGAGAGAGGGCGGGAGAGAGGGGCGGGAGAGAGGGCGGGAGAAGAGGGCGGGAGAGAGGGCGGGAGAGAGGGCGGGGAAGAGGGCGGGAGAGGAGGGCGGGAGAGGGGCGGGAGAGAGGGCGGGAGACGGAGGGCGGGAGAGAGGGCGGGAGAGAGGGCGGGAGAAGGGCGGGAGAGAGGGCGGGAGAGAGGGCGGGAGAGAGGGGGAGAGCGGGCGGGAAGAGAGGGGCGGGAGAGAGGGCGGGAGAGAGGGCGGGAGAGAGGGCGGGAGAGAGGGCGGGAAGAGTGCGGGAGAGAGGGGGGAGAAGAAGGGCGGGGAGAGAGGGCGGGAGAGGGGCGGGGTGGTTGCGGGAGAGAGGCAGAGGAGAGAAGGCGGGCGAGAGGGCGGGAAAGAGAGGGCGGGAGAGAGGGCGGGGAGAGGGCGGTAGAGAGGGCGGGAGAGAGAGCGGCGAGCGGGAGAGCGAGCGGGAGAGAAGAGCGGGAGAGAGAGCGGGAGAGAGAGCGGGAGAGAGAGCGGGAGAGAGAGCGGGAAGAGAGGGGGAGAGAAAGCGGGAAGTGAGAGCGGGAGAGAGAGCGGAGAGAGAAGCGGAGAGAGAGCGGGAGAGGAGGAGCGGGAGAGAGCAGCGGGAGAGAGAGCGGGAGAGAGAGCGGGAGAGAGGGCGGGAAGAGAGGGGGAGCGGGAGAAGAGACGGGAGAGAGGAGCGGGAGAGAGAGTGGTCCTGGGAGCGGAGAAGAGAGCGGAGAGAAGCGGGCTCGAGAGAGCGGGAGAGAGAGCGGGAAGAGAGAGCGGAGAGAGCGCGGGAGAGAGAGCGGGAGAGAGGCGGGAGAGAGAGCGGGAGAGAGAGCGGGAGAGAGAGCGGGGAGAGAGCGACGCGAGGAGAAGCAGACGGAAGCGAGAGAGACCGCGAAGCGAGAGATGACCGGAGCGAAGAGAGCCGCGAGCGAGAGAGACAGCGACGAGAGAGAGGGAGAGAGCGACCGCGGAGCGAGAAGAGAGCGGGAGAGAGCGACCGCGAGCGAGAGACAGCGAGCGGAGAGACCGCGAGGAGCGGAGGAGAGAGAGAGAGAGAGAGAGAAGAAGATGAGAGAGCTGAGTGTGTGTTGTGTGTGTTCTCAGTGAAAGAGAAGTCTTTTCACTGAGTTAGAATTGGGGAGATAGTCGGTTCTCCAAGAAACTATCGATGTTCAGAGTTTCGATCCTGAGAAAAAAAAAGCCGAAAGATCGAAGCGGGTTAATTTTCGATCGTCATTAATTTAGAAATATATAAAGAATAAATTAAATATTTGAATTGCTGAGCCTATCGTGTGCATTCAATAAACTTTCTGTTTATGTTATCCACAACCTTTTTTAATAATTGCAAACTTTTGCGATTTCATTGAGTTAAAGCTGACAATTTTTCCAAAAATTCTTAACAAACGATTTTCTCCAAAAATAACCAATTTTTCTACCGTACATTTAAAGAAAAGAGAAAGGATCGCAAATGCGAAGTATTTGTATGTGCACGCACGAATGCTTTTATGCATGCATGTGCGTAAGTGAGCCAGCACAATGAAAAAGGCAGAGCGGAAGCAGCGCCGAGTCCGATTCCGCTAAGTCGAGAGGCGATGGCATGAAATCGCGTGATGGAGTGAAGATTGCAAACTGCTATTCACTTGGAGCTACTAAGAGCAACATGCTTTCTCAAATTACTTCTAACTTTAGACATCCGAAACTTAAGAGGGGTTCTACAAAAATGAGATCGGCCGGCAATGCTCATTTCGTCGAAAAAAGTCTAAAGAAACAAATTTTGAAACCTTTTTTGAGAAATTTTGTTTAAAAATTTGTGGTAGTTTCAATGTTCGATATAAGTAGAAACTACTCACTTTGTGAAAAAATTGTAAATATTTTATTTATTACCTTATAAAAGATTTGTCTTTGAACGATGCAGGTTTCGTTTAGAGAAAAATATATTGTTACGATATTTGGCATCACATGCAGGAATTCGCTGCGCGTGGATTGCGTCATCGCGGCGCCTTTCCCTCCCCCCCGAAATAAGACGGTTCCGGACTAATGCCGCGAGCCGTGGGAAACGCCGAGAAATGTGCCGGGTGCTGGAGACAAGCGCTGGGCAAGGTATAAATGCGCCGCTGCCGGGGCCCGCGAGTCAGTTAGTAGAACAAGAGGCCTACGTGAGTGAAGTAGTGGGGTAGTAAGGCGATACAGTGAGTTGGGCAGGAGAAGCATCATGCCCCCGTCAGTGTGTCGGAAGTGGAAGCTGTGCTGTGAAATGTACATTGCGGTGAAGAAGTGGTGCAGCGGTTGAACAGCAGTCAGCAGTCTGAAGACTGAAGGTGGAAGCTGAGCTGTGAAGTGGGCATCGCGTTAAACAGCAAGTGAGTGGGACCCTGGTGTGCGCAGTGAAGGCTGTGGTCTGCGCAGGGAATTGGTCAAGCTGCAGTGGACCGTGACAGAGCAGGGACTGGTGATACTTGTAAGAAGGAAGCAGTGTAAATAAATAGTGTGTTAAAAGTGAACTGTGGGTAAATAAAATCATCAAGAGAAAGGAGTCGTGTGTAAAGAGAAAATAATTAATTGTAATATATTGTAAATAGACCAGTAGATTTTTAGTGTAATGATTGTTTCACGATTAAACCTTCTTTTGTTTAATTTATTGGAGTTGGTTTTTAATTACCACGGAAACGTTACAATATCTTCTTATTGTAAATTGAAACAGATGTAAAGAAACTGAACTTTGCAAATTTTTGAAAAATTCAGCTATTCTCTAGAAAATGACACTGCATCATTGTTAGCGTGTTTCTAGACTAAACCGAGAAACAAGGTTTAATAAAAATGAAAGGCGTCATTATTGAAATATTTTAGTAATATTGTTGTGGCTTTCATGTAAGTTCCCATCATCGAACGTTCATTTAAAAATTATCAAGAAGCTCGGAGTTTTTTTTGAAAACGTTTCCGAAGTGAATATCAATTTTTTGGAGAAAATCTTCTGAACGGCTTAGTTTGGTACCACAGACGGCGGGGTTTGGAAAGAGTTTTCGCCGTAATGAATTTTTTAGGGTGTCAAGTCCTTTCACAAAACGTGAATTCTGACTACACAACGTGTTTGAGGACATAAATTTTATGTATAAAGAACAGGATAAGAGACATAACTCAGATTCGAAGTGAATTAATGAATTACGAATAATATGGAATAGTGACTTATTTGAAGTATTTGTACCGGAAAAAGAAAGGAAAACGTAGTAATGCTACACTTATAAAGAACGATATTGGGTTTATCCACGCGTTTTCTCAGCCTGTTCGCTAGTTGCGAGTTGGGTTATTTTGAAGGACTTTTACATCTAATTTGTTGTTTCTTTTCAAGAAAATATTTTCTATTAACAGGGAGTGAATCTGGTTAAATGATTTCGTTCTAAAACGTTTATTGCTATATCTTATTCTTATTCAACTAACGTTGGCAAGGAGGGGGGGAATAGGTTTTTATTCCGGGGCTCAAGATAACGTGCGCGTATAATATGCCACATAGGAATTGAATTTAGTTGTGATTATTGTGATGTAAATAGTAAAGACGTATAATGTTCGAGACAGAAATAAACAATAAAGTATAGAAATTAGATTTATTCCTAGAACAAAATAAAACATAGCTGTGATTGGGACAGTGAACAATATCTAGGTTATGAATTTTTATTGTGAATCGCTGTACTAACGAAAATAAGCGAAATATAAGAGATATGGACAGCCAATGTGACAGATTTGGTAAAGACATTAGTGTCGAGATCAAAAATTGACTATCGCGAAATGAGTCAACAGCCAATAACAAAGTTGGCTAACAAAATTTGTGACCAAACGCAAGTGAAAGTGAATTTGCATCAGATCTCATGGGTTTTGTGCGAAAAATGTAACTGTGGTTGCGAGCTAACAGTCGAAATAGCTAGTCAGCGACGCGGAACATATGTGAAGCTAGCGTAATCATTTGAATAGTTGGCAGATAGAACGTTTAAGTTGTTTCTGACGAAGAGACGAGTAGGGATGTCACTGAAGGCATTCGCGAATTAAACTATTTTAATGCTGACAGTGTAAATTGTTAGCTAGATCATTTTAGAACAACTAACCAAATATTACTTCAACTCAAGAAAAGAAGATAGAAGATTACTGCTGGTTGACGGGTTTAACTTCGCAGGGCGGGCTAACGAGGAAGACCTAAATTTCACACACTATGCGCTAGAAAAACATCTTAAGTCAGAAATTTTGCAAAGAAATTATT